CTAAGAAAAAAAAGTCCTTCAGATGCTCATGTTTGCTTCGTTTTAAAGAAAATCATAAAAGAAAGAACACGTAGTTTTTATTTTTATATTTATTTATTTATTACTTATTCATTCACACTTGTTTATTCACGTTGTCACTTGCTCAATGCAGATATTATTCAAAATGTTGGCTTTTTGTAACAATGTACATATTGCATCTTTTACGGATAGCTCGTGTTGCAGTCAAATACTGATCTGGTTAACGACTCGCCAATTCGACATTCTTCTGTCTGGAAATCGCCGCGCATATTCTCGCACTGCTCCTGAAGCATTATCGCTCGAGTCGTACACGAAAACAATAATATTGCGCTATAAAAACAACATTCTGAAAATTACGTTTTGTCTCGTTTTGCGATGTTCTCCAAAGCGAAGCAAGACGAGCATATCTCTAAACGACTTTTCTTCTTAGTTTATCGATTCCCTATACATTCCTGAAGATTGGCCATTTAAATTCGACACACAAACACACGCGTATGTATAAATTTGAAAGATTGTTTATTGATATTAATTTAATTTGCAGCTTCGAAGACACAATTGATTGTCATCGTATACGTATAAAAAAAAAATTAATCTGCTCTATACAAACACATACGTAAAGTTATACCGAGGCATGCTTCAGGCATTATAAATCAGTAGATAGCGGACTCTCGACACTCTTCCTTTTCCTGTCGCATCGATAACTTCTTTACATGAGTCACAGTTATATTATTGGTTTCATCGTCACGTCTATCGGTTAGTCGTAGGAAAAAGACGATACCTAACTATACGCGAGGGCGTACACATCCGACGTTGTTATTCGCTGAAGAGGTCTAACTCTTGGCACGTTACCAACGCCGTAAGATTACGTCGAAGAAACGAAATTAACTCGAGAAAATGGTCGCTCGAAGTCGCTTCGCCGTGCGATTAATTCTGCGCCGGTAAACGAGCCAGGGATTGATCGTAACGATGAACTTTTTTTTCCAAAAACGCCTCAACTTCGTTATAAATTGAGCGAGTCGCAAGAGTAGTATATCACGGACTGCGCATAGTGATATCTTCTTCGGCAATTTTAAAATAACTCTCGAGATATTTAACTCTCTATCCGAGCCAAATTAAACTTTGAAGGCACAGTCGATATTTTGATTGTAAACTTTGGTAGATAAATTTAAATCTGTAAAAAATAAATAAAATTCATTCCAAAAACAGAGTAAAAATTCGATGTTAAATGTTTCACATGTAATGCACAAATTTTTTGAATCTTTTATACAGTCTGGAACATTAAAAAATTTACATCCTAGACTCAAAGATGTAGGTTGCTGATGGAAGATTCAAGATTCCACATGTGACTGATGAAAATTAAGAATTTTTTAAAGATGTGTATGCGAGATTCCACGTTCCACATTCTCGAGATATTTTGAAACTTTGCGTAATTATTTCAAATTAAGTATACCGAATTACTTTATGTTCGACTAATTTACGTCAGTATGTATAAAGTAATGATCTGTTTTAAAGTAAAATTTTAATGACATAACTTCTCATTTGAAATGTGAATCTTGTAAAGATATACGTAAAGTGTACATAGACTTTAGGAAATGTTTTCTTCCGCAATCTATTCGAAGAATTTTCAGTAGCCATCAGTTGAAAAGATCGTGAGAGCCGTACGTATCTTTGCGCATTCGATTTGCTTAAAAGCTCGAATCGTCTCGAATCCACCTCTCTAGTCCTTGACGCTATAACGAGGCATCGCACGGCTGGCTCTCATGCCGTTTCGTTACCTGCCGTGTGAGCGAATCGTCGTAAGCCGTAAGTAACCGGCCGCTGAGGAGATTACAGTACGAGCGTGCGTTGAACTCTCGCGGGAGAGATAGCCGCCTCCTTCCTGCTTCTCGGCGATGCGAATGTCGACCTTAAGCTTCCGATGCGCGAAGGTCACGCCGTGGTGAAGATCATCGAACCCGGCTTGTCCGGCGATTGTGAATAGAACGCTCGATATGTCCATGATCGGGGAAACTCGCTTAACCACAGGGAATAGAAGTCCTTGACGCCATGAGCGACGCTCATCTAAGATTCAAGAACGACGATTAAGTTTTCCTTTGAGAATTCACTTCTCTCGTCTCAAATAAGATCTCAAAAAGAACTTGACGCTCCAAGATCATTTTATAAATAATAATTTAATAATTTAATTCTTTACCAAACTTTGTCATCGTAATAGAGTTCTTCTGTCGCATGTTTCTATGTACTTACACTATTTTATACAGTTTTCCTCTGTAAACGCAGTTCTTTAAATTTTAATTACTCTAGTAATCGATACAATGTTGTATATATACGATATTATGTTCCAGTTTATCACGGAAGAATGATGTCTCGCGGTGGACACAAAACTTACCCAACTTTTGTAACAAAAAACTCAATATTAATATTTTTAGTAGTAAGTAAAGTGCCGATGTATAAAACCATTCTGTGAAACTCAGATTTTATTGTATATCAGGATTTTAGTTTTTGCAATAAATCACAATACAGGAATAAAGTAAGGATCTCTTTCCAGAACTTCCTCGATGTATTACTGAACGAGGAAGAGGTTGAAATTCAATTATGAATTTGTAGCCGATATTGTATTCTTCCGAGATTGAAAAGTTCTTCCGATAGAACTTGTTTATCGAATTTCTCTTGCAGCTGGTTTACAAATCTCTTTCGCTTGAATTTTTTTTTAAATCTGAGTAATAGAGTGCTTTCCATTTGGTGACACAAGTCGACACAAGCATCATTCTATCTTTCTTCACATTCAATGAGTAACAAAGACAAACGACACTTGTATCGCCTCCATAACATTAATACGTAATTTCTGTACATCACGAGTTTCCTGTATGGCCTTAATTTCGGTAACAAAAATCACGAAGAACGCCGTTTCGGTGTGACGATTAAATTCTCAGATTTCTTTATTTTTCGACGATCGTCACGGATAATAACGCGCGTTTGATTCTAATCGGACCCTCATTACGACTTTATATGAAATATTCTTTTTTGCGTTTACACTTTCCATACTTTCATCAGTCATTCAAACAGGATAAAAATATCTATCACCGATCACTCGCTCATCAACTGGGCGTAGCTTTGGCTAGGACTGTTTCTCTCGTACAAGAATATTCATAATCATGACAGATGACTAATAAGAACTCTACGTAAACTTCACCATTAATAAATACTAGACGAATAGATTTGGCCGCCGGTTACCGCTCGTTCACCAAGGTCATATCGCACGACGTTGACGCCAGAGATCTTTGACTTCTTCTGAGGTCTCGACCTTCTTATATCTTTCTTTCTTGTCTTCTCTTCCTTGTCTCTCATTCGCGATCGTCCGTTCTAAGTTATCTCTTTCTCTCTCTAAATACCCATTAATTTTATATTCAGTTGCGTATTTAAGCAAACTAAACAATGTCCATGAGGTCTCGGGCTTCACGGGCGACATTTCTTTGATTTAACGTTTCGTCGTGATCAAAGACGTGGACAGACATTTCCGAATCCATTAATTCGAATCCGCGATATCGATGCATATTAATGCAAAGTCCCGCGGCGAGAGGGAGAGAGAGAAGAGAAAAAGGCCTGTTGAAACCGTTACCGACAAAGGCAGGCGGAAAGAAAAATGCTTCGTCCTTCGAAATAACAAAAGTCACGCCTCTACCGTTAAAGTCATTTGTGTATTCTTTAAGGGAATTGCGCAAGCAGGCCGAGGATCATTCGATTCGACCCTGGATCTCCGCTCCCCGACTCCGCTCTGTCCCCCTTCGCGCTACCGTATGCTGGTACTTGTAGTACTTCGCCTTCAAGGTCGATTTCGGCCGCAATCGAGAAAACTTTGTTCTGCTGAGAGCTTTTCATGGGCTCGACATTAACATATAAACGAACAAATGTATATGACCGACGTCTCTCTCTCGAGAGAGAGATTCGATGAATGTAGATTCAAATAGACACGTTTGACTCACACACTGACATTTATTCCTTACGCAGATAAAGGAGGAATACTAATTGAATGTACGCGAAGCGACTCGTAAACACAGTCAGATAGCCGCAGCATGATTTAACCACGTTGACGTTTACTATGTCAAGCTGATAATCCATAATCACCGGATGTGTCTCACTTCTAAGCTAAGAGTTCAACTGCCTTGACAGTTTAGCGAACGTCACTCAAGTACGAAGAGAACTCGGCACAATTTTTTAAAAGAAGGAAGACCTCCTGGTCTTCTTACGTTAGAGGAGAAATTTATTTTGATTGTAGGAGAATCCCGATTTAGCCAACTCTCTTGATAAGCAAATTTCGGGATATCAATATTGAAATATTTTTTGGAGCACAACAAAAAATTGGGATTTTTTTTATGTATGTCGGATTACAAAAATACTTTGTAATATTGACCAAACTATTTATATATAATAATTATATATAAGTAAAATATTTATTAATAAAATTAAACGATAACTTGTCTATTGTTGCAAGTTAATCGTTGATCAGTTTTATAGTGGAAGACTCTTGCTCGTTTCTATACTGATGTATAGATCCTTTAATCTCGATTCAATTAACTCTTCATCTTTTTCCAGTTCTAAGAATTAGAAGAAGATGAGGTGTATGTTGAAGTACAATTGGTAGAAACGGGCATTAATAAAACTTGTATACTAACAAATTTTAAATCAATTTACGTTATATTATAAATCGTGACAAGCAGCGTCTTTTCGGGATTCCTCTATAGAGAGCTGAAAATCGAGATGTGTAAAACTAGAGAAGGTGATCCCTATTCCGAGGGTCCGTTTCTTGCGGGACCTAATGGACGGATGATTTTTTAAAACGCAGAGCGGACGTCCACGATGACCGCGTGGACATGGGATGCCATGGTGTTTTGTGTAGCCATACATTTTAGCGTAGTTAGATTAAGCTAGTTTCCTCCGGGATAGACTTTGACGTGGTATCGCATTTGAAGGTTTTGTGTGCACAGGTGAAGGTGGTTAAATTCAGCTACATGTGGACGATAAATAACTTCAGCTTTTGTCGCGAGGAGATGGGAGAGGTGCTCAAGTCGTCCACGTTCTCAGCCGGGGCCAACGACAAGTTGAAATGGTAAGAGCTATATTGGTGATTCTATAACGAGAGTCGCGGGAATGGATGGAAATAAATTAATAAAAAGAAAGAGAAAAGAGAAAAAATTGTTTAAGATTCTTTGCATTGCATACGAGCCGAAGCGAGATATAACATGTCCATGCATCAAACATGGGTTCCATATTAAATTGCGCGATGGCGAGATTAGCATGGACATTTGCATCTATTGACACGTTTATTTGGCGCCAAATAGACGAAGTGTGAGCAATGCGCGAATAATAATTACATACAGTCTGTATACAATTCACGCCGGGTTGATTTTGCAAAGTAAAGTGGCGCACTCGTCGTTGTAAATCGCGGCCTTTGTTTGTCGATCCCGGGCATGATTGGTCGATCTCGCCTTGAGTCAGTATGCTTCTCCACGTGAAAAAACAGAAGTGTCGGAAGTCTTAGAAATACGAACCGTCGCGTTTAGCGCTTAAATGAACGGTGAGAATATGAGCCATTGTCTCTTTCGCCGGCCGTACTACTTTTACTACATTCCCGTCTAGTACCGCATACTTTGAGAAAAACGCGTCAATGGGGACGGGACACCGCCGATCTACGGTCGGCTTTCAAATTGAATCAAGACCTTGGGGAGAAGTAAATTTCGAGAGATGCAATTCGCGTCGTACGGGGACGAAACGAGAATCGCCCTCGAGGCGGTAGCGGTCGTGTCAATTGATGCGCTAATTGGTTTCTAGGTGTCTGAGAGTGAATCCTAAGGGCCTGGATGAAGAGAGCAAAGACTACCTGTCGCTGTATCTCCTTCTCGTTTCGTGCAACAAATCTGAAGTCAGAGCAAAGTTCAAATTTTCTATTCTTAATGCCAAAAGAGAAGAAACCAAAGCAATGGGTAAGTCGGCAAAAAAGAAACGTTACGTGCGCAATTAATATATCAACGTGTGTATACGTGCGGATGCAATGCAGGGTATTTTAAAGATTTTCGTCAGCTTGCTGCCACACAATTAAAACGCTACGATTCGACGACGACGAAAGTCAGCTGCGCTGACAGTCCGCGCGTAGCGATAAACCGAAACGTGGTTGAAGAGATGCAGCTTGAACGAGATTTCTTTTGTTTTATTCTTACAGAGAGCCAGCGTGCTTACAGGTTTGTCCAGGGTAAAGATTGGGGTTTCAAAAAGTTCATCAGGAGAGACTTTCTTTTGGACGAGGCCAACGGATTGCTACCGGACGACAAACTCACGATATTCTGTGAGGTATATACCTTTGTATGTCGATTGTCATTATACGCTCTCGTTACTCGCGCACATATCGTCAGCCGAGCCGAGCACTTCTAACTTCGTTATTTTCACAGGTCAGCGTAGTGGCGGACAGTGTAAACATCTCTGGGCAGAGTAATACGATACAATTTAAAGTACCAGAATGCCGACTGCCCGATGATCTCGGGCTTCTGTTCGAGAACCAAAAATTTAGCGACGTAACACTCACTGTCTGCGGAAGAGAGTTTCAAGCACATAAAGCAATTCTGGCAGGTTGGTTTCAGATACGGAAATAGTTTATTGTCTTCATTTTACATACGTAGTATATAAATTCACACGAAATTATATAAACATCCTAAGATGTATCTAGATTGTTAAAAGCATTATTTTCTATTGGTTGTGTTCTCACAAGTACGGTCCTGTGAGATTTAACATTTAATATTGTCTTGATTTTATTATGTGCTTAAATGTACAATTCAATAAGGATATTTTAGACACAGATGATATGTGTAAAACAGTGAATCATTTGAAGATTTTGCTGCAACAGACTAACTTAACCCACATTTTAGGAAAAATACTAATATCACATGTTCGTTATAAATTAACTTATGCCGATAGCTTAACATGATTGGTATTTTTCTTATTTTAAGATTTATTTACTCCATTTTTTTTAATGTGGGCTAGCCCACTGGCATTAAATTGTTTATTTTATGTTTATCCTTATTTAACATTGGCACTCAACAATGATGTGATAATTCATTTTGTTACATTGCGTTATCTGTATCTCTTGTTTGAAAATGCACTATAATAGAATTACTCTGCACAAAAATATAGAACCTTACCTTTTTGGGTAAAATCATGCAGAATAAACTGATAACGCGCGCAAACTGATAACGCGCGTTTTATCTAATGATAAAACTTGAATAATTTTGCAATTGCTATTTACAGCGCGAAGTCCTGTCTTTTCGGCAATGTTCGAACATGAGATGGAGGAGAGAAAGAAAAATCATGTCGATATCACTGATGTGGACCACGAAGTTTTGAGAGAAATGTTGCGATTTATTTACACTGGCAAAGCCGCAAATCTGGAGAAGATGGCGGACGATCTATTAGCCGCGGCGGACAAGTACGCGTTGGAAAGGCTGAAGGTAATGTGCGAAGAAGCACTTTGCACAAGTTTAGCCATTGAGAACGCAGCCGACACCCTCATACTTGCCGATCTCCATAGCGCCGATCAGCTGAAGGCACAAGCGATAGACTTCATCAATACGTAAGTTACCGCAAGAGGGAAGTGTGTTTGTGAAATACGTTACGTCGGCTCATCGGCTAAAAAGATAATTTTGCTCTCCTAACGACCAAGCTTATATTCTTTGGCTGTATTGGTGAACTTGTAATTTGTAATATCACTAATCCTTGCGACTGTTGTTGCAGACACGCGACGGACGTGATGGATACCGTGGGTTTCAAGTCCATGGTGAACTCCCATCCGCACCTGATAGCAGAAGCTTTCCGAGCTTTAGCGACCCAGCAGATCCCACCGATCGGACCGCCCAGGAAACGGGTGAAACAGAGCTGAAAGCAGTCACCGCTGACCCCGGGCACAACCTCCACATCGCCCCCACCACTTTTGCATCCCTCTTGAACCTTTGTGTACAGTGATATAATGAAGTATAGTAGTGCTAAATAAATGTTTCCTAGTGCGCCATTCTCTGGTCTAAAAGAAAAATCGACGACGAGAATCGACGCGAAAATCATTCGATTATCGATGGAGTTTCGATCGAACGAGAGCATTCGGAGATCGATGGAAGGAGAAAGAGAATCGTCTTGTCCATTCGGTTGATCGAGGGCGAGTTTAAAGAAAAGCGCTCCTACACATGCTCGGACTCTTATGTTCAAGTAAGTGTCGGTAGTGAGGAGAACGTGACGCGACTATTACCAGCGTGCTGCTCGTTTCGTCTTCGCGCAACAAGAAGAACGAGATGTCTAAAAGCCTACGTATCCGCATTCACATTCACACATCCTCATCAACAAATCATATTTCTCGGTTGGCCTGAGCGCGAGTCGATTTAATAACACAGCAACAACAACAGCAGCACTATAGTCGCATTGCGCTCGTTTTCTTCAATGCCAATACCGATGCCAATCGATCTCGATGACACGTTGGGACGTGTCATCAGGATCATCATCGTCATCACAGACTTGCTTTTGTTTCCATTTTTATCGAACGAATGTATTGGAAGCAAATGATCGCGCAAGATGTTAAAGATACGCAGTATATAGCCTGAGAGGACCAAGGAAAGGCGAAGAGCTTCTTTCCACGTGACTCGTCTTCACGATTGCCGTAACAACAACGCGCAATACACGAAGAAAGTTGTGATAGACGTCGGCCAGACGATTTAAACATTTTGTTCCTTTGTCGAAAGAAAGAAAGCACGAGGAGGAAAGATGGATCAAACGAATGTCCCCTAGTACCGTACGCTCGACGCGTCGAGCTTGGAGAGAATTAGATACTTTGTTTGTTTTTACCGACAGTAGTGATCTTTTTAGTTCTAGCGCGTCTCAAACTCTTCCAAGACGGAGAAATCATTCTAGTTAGTGTTCTTTTTTTATGATCTCTTTCTCTGAACTACAATTATTATTATATTATTATTACTATTAATGCTATGCAATCTGTGCCCTATGTATTTTTGTATATTTTTGTCTACAAATAGAGACTCATCTCTCCCTCTTTCCTTTTTGCCACGATAAATCCTATTTCTTCCTGTTTCCTCGATCCCCCCCCCCCCCCCCCCCTCCTCCTTTCCCCATCAATAGGCACAGTTTGTCTTGTTTTCTGGAGTATTGCATACTGTAAGCGAAGTGATAGGATCGAATTATTATTATTATTAATGATTATGTTATTATAAATTTAGGGTTGTCCATAATTTATCGGATCTACGTTGAATATACCACGAGGATAATTATTCGTGCACTCCCATATGTATGCTGGATTACATTATGTTCTTTTAGAGACATTATGATCCGCATTTCGAAGTTGGCACGTTATTACGTATTGAATAAATATGGACGAGAAAAATGTGTGAAGAAAGAAAAAGACATATTAAAAAAAATAATGTAAAATAGAAACGTTAGTCAATTATAGTGCGAGTGTTAATTGCTCTTTTCTTATTTCGTGTCGTTAATTTGATGGTCTGCAAAATTGCGTGTAGTTAATGAACTGAATTATGGGCAACCGCAAAGGCGAAAATAATAATCGTTTAGTACCGTGTACTGGCTTCCTGATCCTCCGATCTTTTAGCTTTACCGAAAGCCGAGTTTTAAATATGTGGAATACTTATTACCATTTACACACATCATTAATGATGACAATTAATGCCATACATGTTCTGTGATAAGACCACTTGTAATTACTGCAATTGTATAATCGATCCTTTCTATAGAGACAGACTCCCCCCCAATCCCTCCCCTTTGACGATCCTGGCAGCCAGTGAATTTACTTGTTATATAAAATACATACGATAAGCGACAGTCATTATCCGGACAGTCCCAAACCTAGCGTCACTATCGATTTTAAGATTTTTACACTGTACATATCTGCTGTGTATTTTATAAGAACAGAACAAACTCACGTACGAGGATCCCATACTTTTACAAAACCGTACAATAATCAGTATGTATAATTTATTTCAATTTTACAGACTGCGCTAAACTCATGTTCCTTGAAAACACTATGCTTTAACTTTAAATGTAATATAACGCCGAAAAAATTGATACAGATTAGATGTGCATTCGTTTATAGTACTGACGAATGACATTTATCGCATCAAAGATCAAAGATTGAACCGATGGAAATATAGTTAGGAGAATTTTCCACTGTTTTTCTACGTCGATCTTTTTATTTGAGTCTTAGAATAATATAGGACTTAAATAAGAAAAGGAACAACAAAAGTATATATTAGACACAAAAGCGGTATAGTAGCAATTTAAGGAACATACTTTGGCCGTGCTGATTCATATTTTAAAAATCTGCGACCATTTTCCAATTTCATATCTATTTTTGGGACTGTGCGGCGATTTTTCTTTTGTGAAACACACATAACGTTGAATGTCATTTCCTAGAGAAAACAAAAGACGAAAAAAAAACGGAAAAAATTAAGCGAGAGAAAACATATAAAACTAATTTCGAAACAATTCGTAAAATACAGATAAAAGAACGATACACACAAACACATACAGATGTAGGCGCAATTCCGTATGAAAATTCGCAGCAGGAATAATACAAGCGTATGACTGGATATAATTTGATAAACTATTAAGTACAAGTAAGACAAGTGTTACCTCATCATGATGAAAGCCGGCGCGTGTGGTGATCGAGATCACCACCGCCACTAGCTACTACCGCACGTCCGCTCTCTGATACACACACATACACACACACACAACACACCCATTGTATTGCATTTAAAAATTCGAAGCGTTCTTATGTAAAAAAAAAAAATTAATTGCGGTAGTGGCTGATCCGCGCGAGAAGTGTTACGCGCGCCGCTCATTGAACCCAGCTCATATACGCAGACATTCATTTTCCATTTTACTTTAAGTCATTGCACCACATCAAATAAATGACATTTTCATTATATAACAATGAAGTGTAATTTTTCGTTACCTCTCCACCGTGGTGTCACCGCATTAGTACACTGGATCTCTCAATGTGCGAACATTACGAGATATTATTTGACCGGGCGGTTCAGAAAAAATCTAGAAAATATTTTGGAACATTTATAGAATTAACATCTATACACGATTCCGCTATCAAGAAATGATGAGAGCTATTTTTTTCCTAAATAAATTTACAGATTACGTTTTATTCAGATAACATACATATACACACACATAGATGAATTATTTGTATTTGTGAGAGTATCGTTACATATGCTGAACAATGGGAGACGAAGGAGGCTCGTTGGAATTTTGATGGAGACTCTTTTCTTGGGATTTCGGCGTTCCTGGATACGACGGTGGAGCTTCTGACATGGACGTCTGCCAACAGAGAGATTTTATCATTATTCGAAAATTATTTTTACGTTTGTCTCTAATTATATCGTGGTAAGTTGTAGCAAATACACACATATCTTTATCATAATCGGTAAACTAAAAATGTTAATTTATATACCCTGTTGTAGGGAGACCCATAAAGAGGGGGAGCATTGTCGGAATACGTATTGGTGGACGAAGCGTTGCGAACAGCTTCATTATATGATGGTGGTCTCTCCTGACCTTCAATGGTGCTGCAATATGTCGTTAGGTCACCTTCCTCGTGCACGTGTCTTCTGCGCGTTCGCAATGATGTTTGGAGTGGTCTATCAATAATGAAAATGAATTTAAAGATCATTAGAAGTCTAATAAAAAAAAGATAATTTTGGGAAATTTTTTTGAGAAACTTTACTGAAGATGAATATTATCAATATATGTGTGTAATAAATTTATGAAAGCTTATAAAAATAGCTATGTAGCATACATTTAAACAATTCCCGAAAAGAGCATTCTTTATTAGTCTTTTAAAGAGGTTCCTTAAAATGTTTTGCAAAACTTTAATTATGTATCTCGATGAAAATTTTGAATACATATGAGACAAGTAAAAAGTATATATTAGAAAGAATAATTTTAAAGACCTACCGATTATCTCATTAATTAAAATTTTTAAGTTTTTGATAAAGTAAATTTTGGAAAATAGAACGTGTGTAAAAATGCAATTACAATTCTTTTCATTCATGCTACTGATATGCTGACCTCTCTAATTAATTAAGATTAATATTTTACGGTCTCTGATTTTTTTTGTATAAGATTTAAAGGATCTCTTCTGTAACCTTAACATTGTTATTATTAAATGATTACCGTCAATAAAGAACTTTTGTTATTCTGTAACAACAAAATAGTGATAAATCGTTCTAAATTTAGCGATAACTAATGTTGAGTTTACGACAATTTTGTTGTTAATGAATAGTATCATTTATAGAAGAGAAAAAATTGTTCACTAATAATAATTGTTCAATTATTAAAAATCACAGAAATAAGATCCTAAGAAAAAAATAGATTTGAAAGTGATACTGCATTTATCATGAAATGTCATTAAATTTGATACATTTGCGTTTGTTTGGAGCACCAATAGCGAGTAATAGAAAACATTGATAAAATAAATGTATTGGATGTCTTCATACTTGGTACACAATTTACAGTAAAATGCAATCAATCCTATGATGCCTAATCCGAATAGCATTGCAATTCCAATCTGTGTCATTATTATTAATTGTTGCTGTTCATGCCTGAAATAAATATTGATTGTTAATTATATCTTAATCTACTGGTATTATAACAAGGTATTACATTGGAATAATTTAACCATTGCTTACAAACAATTAAAAGTTCTTTCATACCAGCATGTAGAGCAGTTTGCGCAGATACAGCATGGAACACTGGAACAGCAAATTACACACTTATCTGTAAATTTTAAAGAAAAAAAAAATAGAAATATTTATTAAAGGGTAAAAAATAAATTTTTTATATTTGTTATTATAGTTAAAAAAATTCTGACTTGCAATCGTGAAAAATTTTGATATTAACTTACCGACATATTCAAAGCAGATGCATGACGATTGTTGTTGGACACCACATTGCGTACAATTATTAAAATTATATATTCTTTCCGAAATCTTGGAATATACGTCCATATCTGTTAAAACACAGATTTTTTATCATATAACAAGTTCATTCCGTAAAAAATATCAGTAATACTTTGCACTTATTAATACGACTTGCATTGAAATGTGATAAAATGGAAAATATTTAACATATATTTACAGAAAAATCAAAAACTGTATTCATTATATGAATGCACATTCAGATATAATGTTACATACCTGAGCTCTCAGTCAGACTTATGACGCAAAAGCATAAATATCCAAATAAGAATAAATTCATGATGTCACCTCTATTTATGAACAAACAAAACAGCCATTCATCTGAATTTCACTTACATTAATATAACTCAATTGCATCTTTAATTGATATTATTTAGTATAAAGGTACAATAACGTATTGCTTATTATTAAAAATAGCTTTGTGATAAAACAAGCATATTAAGATAATATAAATTGGTATCCAATGCAAATGTACTTCTGAACTTATATCTTATAAAATCTGATATTTGTACCTCTATAGTAATCTTATCAATATGAATGTCTGATAACATTGGTAATCAACAGGCATCAAACAAAAAGATATTCCCTCATACTGATAGTAGTAAGTTTTTATTCGTCAAATTTTGATAATAAGATATCAGATGGATATATTATCTTTAACAAATTACTCCTGTTACACATATAAATGCATATATATATATGTATATATATATACATATATATATATATAATTATTACAATACATTATTATTATTATAGTTTACTTATAGCACTGCGCATTTATTTAGCAAGTAGGCAAATATGAGAAAACAAAAATATAGGTATTACTTAGATATTTCATACTATATTAGGAAATAAGTAAGTCTCCGGACTTTCATAATTCAGCATATTTTACAATAGAATTCAGAGATATGACAAGCTCCTGAACAATTTCTTTTGTACAATTTCAATTAGTTAGCGTAATTAATGCTTCTACAATATCACCTCTGTGTTCCCTGAGAGTCTGTTCAGCCAAAATCCGACTAATCTCCATCTCTTTCATCTGAAAGAAGGACGACCGTATGTCTCTTAGTCGATTCGGATTCTTTTGGTACTTTCCAAGTACCAAACACGTGGCGAAATACTCACGATTAAATCGACATCCTCCTTCTTAATAGATACTTTGAGCAGCTCCTTCTCCTTCGCCTTCTTTTCTGCAGCCTCTTTGTCGCGCCGATCGCCGATTATGCTGAGGGCCTGTTAGACATTCTTTTTAATGCGAAAATCGAGTTAACTTTCAATTTAACATTTGAAATCGAGCAACGAAAGTGACACGCGTGAACGGGCTGACTTCTAGGTTATCCGGAACAAGCGAGTACTTACGCAGGAAAATCCATCAGACGATGAGATCTCTTTCTCTTCGGCATAATCGGTCACTTTTTCTAAATCAGCTGCACCGCTGTCATACTTGGCCGCTTTCTTCTGCGACTTCTCCTGCTGCACATCGTCCGAATCCCCGTTTACATCGTCATCCGCCATCTTTCGTACGAGGTTAACGTTCGTTAGCGTGCGCTTCACCGCTCCCGCGTCGTATGTCAACAGACACGCGTGGGTGGACATTCCAACATCTAGACGATTTCGATCAAACTCTGATTAGGAGTTAATCGGAATGGATAATTCGAAGACAGAATTATATAAAAGCAAAATTTCTAAGTACACAATGTCTCTGATTTAACCCTTTGTCAAGATATTAATTTTGTTTATATTATAATAGAAAAATAATTTTGTCTATATATTGTAAAAAAATTAATAATTTTATATACGGATAGAATTATTAATTTTTTGTATGTAGTCTAGGTAAACATATTTGATATATTTATATATATAGCATCTCATTAATATAGTTTTTTTTTTAGAATTTTCTTTTAGTTTGGGGCAAAAAGCAAAAGTTAAAGGACAACATCACACGGTATTCCCAAGCGGTCACCCATCCAAGTACTAACCGCGCTCAACGTTGCTTGACTTCAGTGATCGGACGAGAACTGGTACTTTAAAACGTGATATGGAAGTTGCCCGATTACTATACTTACTTAAAGAAGTTTTATGTTATTTCATGAGTTTTATCATTTCAAGAAATACAATTTCTGTCTAGAAATTTTCATAAATTTAAAATATGAAAACTTCTTAAAAATATATTATGTGAATTTTTTTCGTCGCAACGTCCCGCAGTGGCTTCCCCCCCCCCTGCATCATTATGCTCGGTCCCTATATTCCTATGGAAATTGACCAATCATTGGGCGTGTTCAGCGGACTCTACAGTTGAGCGCTCGCTGTTATTGGTGTATTTTTCTAGATCTAAAATTCTGATTGGATGATTTAAAAGAATACACCAATAATAGCGAGCACTCACTTCAACTGTTGAGTCCGCTAAACACGCGTCCATAGCTGAATACAAGAAAAATGTTGGCAACACTGTTTGCACTTTTTACAAGAGCGCGAAAATTATTGTTGACGTGGTTGAACATTGATATAAGGAGGATATAAGGAGGAGAAGTTCTACAATTGTCGTTTATAAATTGCGTTGTTTATTAAATTAAGATGAGTAAAAAACTAAATAATTTGATCAGCCAAAAAAATCAAGCACAGCTGCAAGAATTTGTGCGGGAAGCCTCAACTGAGGAGGTAAGGAATGCAGTTCACGAATGTAAAACACGCTTTTTTATTTATATATTAATTCTGTGAAATTAAGTTAAAATTCTTCGTAAGAAAATTAGTCCGAAACAGTGTTAGAAAAATAATTTATTTCAGCTCACAAAGATAATATCGAACGAAATTTGCAATGCAGATATTTCCAAGATATTGGATGAAGTCCTGCAGGTGTGCTCTGAGTCAGAGAGTTTATATGCCAAGAGAGTCAAATTAGTGGAGTCTGCTCTGAAAGCTTTAGGCAAAGCCAAAGTTACAATTAATCATGCAAACGAAATCGTGAATCGGATAGTGTTAGACTTCCCTAAATATCCAAAGCTACATCTGATCAAATTGGTTGACTTTTGTCTTACCAGTATTCGCAATAATGACGACGAATTTAGAAGGTATATGATTACTTCACGCCCTTATTTTGACAAAATAAAAAAATACAGTATGTTTCAGTTGGAAGGACTTATTGCCTGTCTTACTGGAAGTGTTGGAGGAAAAAAAATATATTACTTATATGAATGGCGAGGTTACTGGTTCTAAATACAAGTCCATTATTGTTAATAATCTATGCAACAGTGAATGGGACACGCAGATAATGCCATCGTTGGCAAGAATGTTTAGGTATCTATTCTTCCAGTTCTTAATAAAATAAATGTATGAATTGAGAGATAAATTTATGATTTCATTATGCTTAGAGATATATCTTTGGAAAAGGAGGATCACGCTATGGTAATTACAGTATTTTGTACAAAACTACAAGATATATCTCTTGATGAAATACCTCCTTTTGTCTACCAGTCATTGAGATTATGTACCAATCAGGATAATAAATATCTCTTAGAAGCTTTGCGGAAGTATTTCACACTGCGCTTCTCGCAAACTAATAGTACTGACACTTTTGAATCTATAGGTAAGAAAAATAAAGACATAATTTTTATTTATGTATTACAATGTATTGTATAATTATATATAATGTTATAACAGTAATAATAATAATATATAATTATATGTTGTTATATAATACAACTATATTACATTATAAACATAAAAACATGGTTAATATAGTTGTATTTAAAGGAATTGAAATTTGATTTTCCTAATTCTTTATGAATGATATCTCTAAAGTATACATAAATGTACAACACATTTTTTCTTTTAAATCTCAATTTTTAATTACTGATTTACAGATGTAGTAAATCCCAAGGAAGTTCGAGACGTTGAAAGTACAGTATTATATCATATATCTCAATCTGCCGAATTAAATCACCAACATATAAGAGACTATATTAAATATTTTAAAAGTATTTCAAACATTCCTGAAGCTGTATTAGAACCTTTTATGCTTTCTGTACTGCTTACAGTTGCTTCTATTGATGAAAATCAGGTGATGATATATTAATTTATTAATGAAATTATATTATGTAACTGTCTTCATGTTTATAATTTAATGTAGTATTATATTATAACAACATATAATTATATATTTATTTTTTAAATATAATTATATAATATTGCTCAACTATGATATCGTAGATTTTTGAAATGCTGCGAGCAATTATTAACAAGCGAAACGAAATTGACAGTAAACAGAAACATAGCGCATGGTTGAGAAAATTAATTCCTGATTCTTGTAGTATAATGAATGTAATAGGAAACGTCATCGAAGCAAGGTAAATATGCAACAGAGATTACACTTATTATAAATACATTGATATCAAACCTTTTAATACATACAACAATTTAATTATACAGTAACAAGGATCGTCACTTAGTATTGAAAGGACTCGTAGATCTCGCATTTGTTCTTATGGCTGTAGAGAATAAAACAAAAACGGATATCCATCCTTTATGGCGAATTGGTACAAAGATACTTCAAAAGATCATGAGGAAGCATCACGAAACAGTTGCAACCATATTTCAAATGTTGATTGACAAAATAATCGCGAGTAGATCCTCTATTTCTCAATATACTGGTAGGATTTCTGTAAAAATATTTTTATTTATTAGTTATTAATTATTTATTGTATTTATTAGTTAGCAAATTATTGTAAATCTTATTATTCCTCATTTAATTATTGGCTAATATTGTTTGTTTATAGATTGTTTAGCATATATGTGCCGTAAATTAACGGTTCTAGTGTTAGACCATCAAGAGTCTATAATAATGCTTTTTGATCAGATCTCATCTATACCTGGAGAGATTGCCATTTTTATTGTTTCTGCAATATTTCCATTGGTACAAGTCTCAGTCAGTATAAGAGAGCATTTGGTCTTGACGTTGAGACAAGCTCTCTATAGAAAGGGTACTTTTAATCGACAAATGGCGGTCAGTGGAATTTTGGAAATGTTGAGGAATCTGAAAATACACTCTCTGAGCGGCCTCGCGATGAGTTCGAGTCAATATGCCAATTCGTCATCGACTGGCACAAGTTCCACATCCATTTTGACTCAGGTTTTATTAATCACATTTACAACAGTCGGTTAAACTTTTGCAACTTTAAAATGATTAATTATTTTGTATGATTATTTCGTAGGTGACGTTAGAAAGAGGTACTCAAGCAAGAGGACCTACTTCGAGATATAATAGAACTTTATGTTACGATGTTTTGGGTATTTTAAAAAGATGTTTTACTCATGAATGCGAAGTTCGATTACACTTATACAATGGTACGATATTAGAGAAAAAACTACGCTATACTTGTAATGTTAAAAGATTAAAGTAACTGTCAGTAGTCATCAATTTCAATTTGATTTATCTTCTAGGTTTATATGAAGCCGTATTGAAAAATATTGAGATAACAGAATATGTATTAGAGATGTTATTACCACACTTCAAAACTTTCTTTGAAACTGACGAGAACGTCGTGGTGCCAGTTAAACTGGAATTGTGTACAGCTGTACAAGGGGACCAAATTATACTGCAGGAACCTTTGGCAGAATTGGTACTCGTACTGCAAAAGATTTACATCAAATCGGCTCTAATAAAATCATCCTTTGTAAATGAATTGGCTATTATCTTGGAATCTCTCTGTAGGCGGATGCCGCGACTTGAGGTAGAACATCTAAGTCTGGTGAGTTTAGAAAATTAGACTTAATAAAATTCAAGTTTATTTGTAATTATATGTAATTATATTTTTGATGCTATTTAATTATATTTTTAATCTCAATAGGATGACAAGCTTGATTTAAGCAACTCTAGTATCAAATCTCAAGAAAAATTGCAGAGTGTTTTGTTAGCGATCAAAATTTATGAGGCCCTAATATCCTTTAGAATCAGTGCCTGGTCTGTAAACTGTACAGATACAGCACAAAATATTAAAAATTTGTTCAAAGGATATACAAGATTAGTCGAATTTACTAAGGTAATAAAAATATATGTTGTGTATATTTATAATTAATATAAGTGTATTTACAATAAAAAAATATAATTTTATTATTTTTCAATTCTATAGCACATACCAAAGGTTAAAAAGGGAGAAGGAAAAAATAAAAGGACACAAAACGACCCGAATAATACAAGTGTAAAGAAAGCTGGCCGACCAGGTATCATAAAATTACCGCCCAGTATTATAGATTTGTTTATAGTGCACAAAAGTCTGTCACTTTTCTATTTAAAATCTATTCCCTGGGCATCTAAGGATCAAGTAATTGTGTTAATAGATAATCATGATTTTTATCATTATATTTTGCAAACGTTATTGCAAATTTTACAAAATATTAAACTGTTAACGGAATACAATTTGCGGAAGCATAAAGAACAGTATATGAAGACCTACTTTGAAATTGGAAAGTAAGTGTTCTTTTATGTAGAGACCTAGTATTTTATCGTTCATTTCGCCGTGCATTTTTCAGGCATTTTTCCTCCCCTCTGCCTTTTATATAGATATGTCAAGAAAAATAGAACGATGTTTGTATCAATTGTGAATTAATTTTGATTTATGCATAACGCGCATGATGCATAATTTTTTTCTTGTTATTCATCAAATATTGAAGATAGAGAGAGGACTTCTCTATTGTTTTCTATTGAAAAATTTTATCAGTGATGCCTATTTTACTTTTTCTGAGTATTATTTTCCTATTATCTTTAAAAATAATGCAAATAATATTTTTAAATGTTATCTTGTAATTATCGTGCGCGATCGCAGTTTGATTTTTTAAATTCCCCTAAAATGGGAGAACAGAGACGAGATGCATAGCGAGTATTCTGCACTAAACTTCACATTGATTTACATTGTTTTGATATATGCCGAAATGAACAGCAAAGTGAACGGTGAAATTTCAATCATCTTTATAAAAGCTTAGAAAAATATTAAAAATGTAAGTATGTGATCCAAAAATATAAGTATGTAATACAGACTAAATTTTTTCTTTTTCTGACAGATTATTATACTATCACGTTGTACTGGATTTAAACAAAATTCTTGATACAGACGAACAAGGAACTATATTAGCATTAGAATGTTTCAAAGAATTATGTTATTTAATATGTACCTACTTCTCTTCTGCATTGTCACAGTTTCTTAATGTTATTATTCGTAAGTGTTTAAAATATTAGAATAAGGTAGTGTTTCTGTCATAATGTAATATTTTTTTGCAGCTAATGAGTCAACTCAAACAGAAAATCTTAACTTACAATTGGAGAACATAATTGCTGCTGTATGTACAAGTTTCAGGACATTCTTTAGCAAGAAAGAGGAACATGAAGAGAATTCTAAACAGATACTTAGCATATTATTGGATATTATATACCAATTGATGCAACAAATAAATTTTTATGAAACAAATAGCGATGAAGTTAGTATTTTTTTGTAACTATTTTTATTCGATAAAAATAGGAAGCATATAACGAAATACTATTAAAAATCTGTTACATAAGGTATTTGAATCGATGATGAAATTCACACAATTGGAAGATATGAATCCTCAAGTTTCTTTAACTATTTTCCAAATTCTGTTATTGATAGAAGAACGTCATAAGGAATATGGGGAATTGTTAATCGATATCTCTGTCGCATTGTGCGAGAAAATAGGTACCGTCGACCAGGTATGTAATGAATATAAGTACACAATGTATAATGTACTGTCGATTATTGTTTTATAATAAAATAAAAAATGTATGAAATATGTATCTTAAAGTTTAACAGAAAATATTTTTTGCAAGATGAAAAGCATTAATTAAAGAGTATTAGATACTTTTTCGTCGAAATTATTTTTACATTAAATCACTTTTTTTTAATTTAAGTAAATTAGCTACAAATTTTTTATTTTTTCTGGTTGAAAATTCTTTTATTTTCTAAAATAGTCTATAGATTAGTTTTAGAAAAATATTTCATAGCTCTGGTCCATTTTTTTGAAATTAAACAAATGTTAATCACAACTGCACTAAATGAAACGCGTATTTACTTTCAAAATAATAAGAAATTTGTGTAAGCTAATTGATAGTATTTTTCTGATAGTGTTTTACTGGAATATACATAATTTTATACGTGGTTTTAAATTTTTAGTTAGTAGTATTATTATAACATTATAACATTAATATCTTGTTGTGACATAAAAATAGATTTCTCTTTAAATATTCATTATTATTTATTTATAGACTGAAGTACTGGAAAATAAAAAATTCAAAATTATCCATGAAGAGACAGCGGATAAACTTTACAATTTAATAAATAACTCTATAAAAGAGAAATTGGATAATATTTCCTGGTTATTAGTGCGTCTTAAGGCCGAGCAAAATGTTGTTTGTCCGCCTGGCACAGATCTTGAAGAATGTACGTATAATTTCCATATTCATATCGCTTACAAACTTTTGCACTTATTTTCTTGTAATAATATTAAAATTCCTGGACACAGATCAGGAAAAAGTGAGAACACAAGAACGCAGTTTGTGCAGACAGCTGTCGCACATTATACAAATACTTTATATAATAGCTAACGTCGCTGTCAAACCAGGATTATCTACGGATATTATGTTCAAAAATTTACAAGTTGTGTACAATCTACTTAGTAATCTTACAAAATATTTCTATGGAAAATCCAGTAAACAAAATGCAGCATTTCAGTCAGTGAAGTAAGAGAATTTGTCTGTAAACTTCATAAATTTTAATAGATTAATTATTTTTATTTTTTTTAATTACTGTTTATATAATAAATTAATTTTATATTTTTATTGATCTCTTTTTAAAAAAATATAAATTTTTTGTATAATTTCAGATTTATTCAAGTAATTCAATCAGCTGGGAAATCATTAAAATCTGTATTTTATAATTTAATAACCTATATTGAGGTATTTATTTAAAATATGATTTAATCTTGTATCACATAAAAATAGTAATACGTGTTCGTATTATATAGGAACATCAAAATGCAAAAAAATCGAAGACTGATTCACTTATACAAAGAAACAAGATTTTGAAAGAGACCCGAGTTATACCCCGTGTGATATGTGAAATAGAACAATTTCACAAGGAGATTTTATCGCTTGATAAGAAGACCGGTGTAAGTATTTAGTAATATTTAAAGAAAAGAAATGGATATATGTACAGGGTATGTGTTTATTATTTGGAAAAATTAAAAAAACCTAGAATTTTTAGGGAATCTTTTTTTACTTTTAAAGATCAGAATTTTTAAAGAATTTTATTCATACTTAGAGAAACTTTTGGTATTTTATTAATTTTGTTTCTTTCTGAAAATGGTTTTTCTCTAATTATTTTGTCTCAATAATTTAAAAAAATTGTTTAATCTTAAAATTTTGAATGAGAAAATATTTGGAAAATTTTTCTCAGAGAATTTTTTTACAAAAGATTTCAATGCCCTACAGTAAATATCCTAGTTTATTTAAAATCGGAGATAAATTTATATATGAAAAGAGACGTTGGTATGTATATTTTAGATTCCACTTGAGATTTACATAAAGCATAGTATAACGCGCGATTTTCGTATAAAAAGCACACAGTTAATAGAAGCACTGGACAGGCTGAATATAAGCATGGTAAGGAAAAGGTGAAAAATATTGTTTAAAGTTTAGCATTTTCTAATTTTTTATAATTATCACATTGTATTTATTAGCTGGATACACAGAATTCTCGCCACAGTAATGACGCATCTAATGCAGATATAAATGACATGTCTATCGAATCACGTAGAGAAACACAATCTTCAAAACGATCTAGGAAAAAAGATGCGTCCTCAAAATCGCCGGAATTCCCGCCTTCAAAACGTTCAAGAAGATCATCTGAATCTTAAAACTACAAGTGCCTTGTTTTAAAATTATATATAACTTTTGTCTCTCATTTTGATATGAAGTTTAATTTTACACTTCTGTATAATTTTTTTTTATACAAGTTTTGAATTATATTACGAGTTGTATGTAAAGAACATGTTTATTAAATATAAATATTCTATTATAATGTTGCATTAAGTATAATAAATTAAGGTATAATTATTTGCATTAATTTACCATATTAATCATAGAATTAGTAATGTTCATTTCGATATTTTCTTTTTATCTATGATGTCACTTGATATATTTGTCACTTAAAATTATACTAAATTATGCAACAAAGTCCAGAGGCCTGTTGAATCCACCCTTTCTATTCATGTACTGTCTGTATTTCCTTTTCAAAATAACATGAACTGCACCTACGTCGTTCCCATCTACTTTTTTGCCTTTAGTGGTATCAAAATCACAGAATCCCATTATTCTCATCATCTCTTGTTCCTCGGGCGTCTTGCCTTGAAGGTCTGCTTCTGTAATACAAAAGCAAACATAGTCAATTTCTGGTTGTAATTTTTATTACAATTTTGTGACATGTTAAAACTGATAATTTTTGAAAAATATTTAGAATTTTCTAGAATTACAAATAATGGGCTATTTGTGTTAAGCAAAATGTCCTAAGTTGATAAATCAATTTATGTTTAATTAATAAGGCAAACAATTTATTTTTTGCCTTATTTTTATGAATATACTAGAGAATTACAATGTAAAAAATTCTTATTTTTACGAATATACTTGTGAATACCTGTAATAATGGGTCTTTCATTTGTTGAAGGTTTCGGTTTCACTCTGTGTCTGGATCTGTCACGCGATCTTTCACGTTCCCGTGATCTAGATCTACTGTATGATCTTCTATGTCTGTCTCGTTCACGTTCTCGATCCCTGTCTCTATCTCTTGACTTTACTCTATCTCGTTCTACAGATCTATAGACATAAAAAAAGACTCCATATTTACGATAGTTGAAGGGATGTAATAAATTAATAAAAAATTATCTTTCAAATATACCTTCGTCTTCTTTCTCGTGACCGTCTTCTCCGCCGATCTCTGTCACGATCTCGTTCTCGAGATCGATCCCTCCGTCTTCCTGGTGATGGAGTACGACTTCGTCCCATTCTGTAAATATATAAAGAGTTTACATGTTTTTAATTTATTTTACTAAATTAGTTTTAGAAAATAAGAATTAAAACGAATGCATAATAATATCTTGAATAATTTAGAGAATAAGTATAACTAAGATTTTGAGTTAAATTGAAATAATAATTTCGATTGTGTGTGCAATAAATTTTCATTGTAAAATTTTTAAACATAAAAAAACATAATTTTTAAATAAGAAAAATTATACTGTTTAATGGTAGATACTTACGACAATTTTTATTTTCGTTAATTTAAAAAATAAAATAACTTTATCTTATGTTCATTTCTAACATTTTTACACAATGTTAGGTTAGGTTACACTTAAGCAGCGGTACACATTACACGGTGCGTGCAGTTAACCACAGTTACGATATTTCCCCTTTTTCCCTATCAAAAGTGTGATCAATCGTGCTACAAATGCTTTGAAGCGTTTGATGGGTCAATCAGAAGAAAGAATTTTATAAATTGACCAATCAAAAGACTCCTTTAAAGCATTTGTACGTGATGTAAAATTGCGTTCTAAAATCCATTCAGCACTGACAATAGATTTTGGAACACAGTTGGGAGTCGACTTTCGGAACATAGCCAAAGCGTTAAAAAGGGAACTGTCTCATGAAAAGTGTAAAAGTGAAAATATGCTCCCATTGCAAATTGCAGTTTTTTGTGGAATTTTACATTTAACGCCTTAATTCCAACCAATAGAAAAGTTATCAGGTTATTTATATACTATTTTGGCACTGGCGGTTACAGTTTTCGTTTCTGATGTTCAGAAAAGAAATGATTCGGGTCAAACAAAAGGAAGATTAAAGTTACGGTTAACGCTTTTTTACGTGCAAAAAAAAAGGCCTTTACTTAACCTGAATAATCATTAACTTTAATGATTGATTAGTTTAATATCTCGATTCATTCACAGTAACACTTAAATTTGTTTATTCCATTTAAAAACGCATCATTGAGCGTAATTTTATTAAAACTTGTGTACTTAAATTGAACAATTATCATTTGACGAAAGCGAGAAGAAAAGTTGCAGTTTAGCACATGAATAAAAATAGCCTCCTGATTGAAAAAAATAATACAGAACCAGTGTGGAATAAAATAATGCGTAACCAGTGTAGAATAAAATACTGTACAAATAATCGTTTAAAAGGATTTCACTTGTTTAGGTCAGTTGAATGAAGTTATTATACGTGATAGTTTCATATTATTTAAGGAATATATATTTAAATTGTAAAAATGATAAATGTTTCAGATTTCCTCTTCATCGAAAAGACCACCTAAAAAAGTGGATTGAAGCTATTGGGGAACCAAATTTTAAACCTACTAAATCTGATGTAATTTGTAACGCACATTTTACAACTAATGATTACATACTCAGGCCAGGCACACATGATGTTCGTTTAAAATATCTTGCTGTACCCTCCATATTTCCAGAGCCTCCAGAGATTACTCCTACAATTTCAAATATATTTGCTTCAAATCCATCTGGTTTGCATCTGTTTACATACAAAAGTATTCAAAAATTAAGAGAAGACTATTCTATAATTTTTTATCTAATTTCAATATTTGATGTAGCTCTTGAAAGGATTATGAGTTTGCCTATATTGGTCATACCCTCTGAAGCTAAGAAATCTAGAAATCCAAAAAAAAATAAGACAAATTCAGAAAAAACAGCCAATATAAATACTGTTGACGATGCAGTTAAGATAACATTGATAAATGAACAGAAAATAACGAATAAATCTAAAAATCAGAAAATGACTTTAAAAAGGAAGCAAGTTCAAACAATCATTCGTACACTAAAGCAAGATTTGAAAAAGAATAAAAAAACAATACAGTTGCAGCAGAATTTACTGACTGGTATGGTATATACAAATTATAAATCCATCTTGCAGAATACAAACTAACATCATATTAATATTACAACTTTTTATTTAACAAATGTAAAGAACGTATGTATAAAATAATCGTATTATTGAATACTTAAGAAATTATAACATTATGTAATATTAGTTTATATTCTGCAGAATGTCTTTTGTTACAAAAAATACTGGATTAAAAACAATTGAAAATCTGTTTAATTCTAACAATATTGTTTTAGTTTTTTTTGCAAAATTCACAGTAGTTTCCTAAGTATATTCCATTTTTATTAGTAATGCGATCATCATGATATTAAACTTCTTGTTTAAGTTTCTTGTACTTTTCGCACATCATATTCGTTTTCTCTCTTTTTAACATTTAAATATACATTTATCTCTTCCTCTGAGAAAAATTTTACTTCATATAATATATTATACATGTACAATATATTTTGAGTAAAATTTTCTTTAGAGAGGAAGTTTTGGAATATATCCTGAGCTGTTAATATATTTAATAGCATTGGAAGTTTGGAATGAAAACAGCGGCGATAATTTTTCCGAAGAAGATGAACAAATGGAATTATCACCAATTCAAAGTGTTCAACTTCGTGTTAAGACTTATGTGGAGACAGTGAAAGAATATTCAGATGTTGAGTTTAAAAGACATTTTCGGTAAAATAAATATAAATAATATATTGTATAGCTTTATGTATAATTGTACAAAAGTAAACATTTATTAACATAATAACTTTTATTACACAAATGATAACAATTTTACTTGAATATGAAATAAAGTTATTTTATTTAAAATCAGTTAACTTTTGATTACAGGATATCACGTGTAGTGTTTACATATTTATTAAATTTAATAAAACCTAATTTAGAAAAGCCCGCTGGATGTGGACGCTGTCCAATTTCTCCATATTTACAATTATTAGTGACGCTATGGACTATGGCAACACCTGATTCATATCGGTAATTATATATAAATAAATATTTATATTAAGTAGATCAGTATTATTGCTAAATTTATTATACATATATATATATATATATATATATATATATTCTGTATTTCATTAATAGATCTGTTTGTGATCGATTTAATATTGGACGAGCAACTGCTTGGCGTGCTCATAGAAAAGTCTGTGCAGCAATATATTCTTTAGCAAATAAATTTATTAAATGGCCTAATGTAGAGGAAGCACAACGTACATGGATGGATATACAGTACAAACATAAATTTCCAAAAGTACTTGGTGCCATAGATAGTACACACATACGTATACAGAAACCAAAGGCTCATGCAGAAAATTACATAAATCGAGACGGTTATTATTCAATACATTTACAAGTAAGTTATACATTTAATGTAATCAGTAATATAAGGAATAATTATGATAAAATTTTTATGAGATTGATAAATGCTTAAATATTTTAATACTTGTTGTAGGCCGTATGTGATTCCACCTTAAAATTTATCCATTGTTACGCAGAACTACCGGGATCTATGAATGATATGTGTGTATTCTGGGTAAGTGATATTCCATCTATGTGCACAGAAGAATATTTTCCACATGATAGTCATCTGTTAGGTGATACTGGGTATACTCTACAAAAGCATGTAATGGTCCCTTATATGAGCAATGACAATGATTTGTCAGAAGCGCAAATTAATTTTAATCAAGCCTTACGTTCGGCTCATGTAATGATTGAAGAAGCCATCGGTTGTCTGAAAGGACGTTTTCGTAGTCTTGTAGATAAATTGTATATGAAACGGACAGATCTAATACCTGAATATATTATTGCGTGTTGTGTGTTGCACAATATTTGTATTTTACATGAAGATTTTTTAGATGATATTGATGCAAAAGATAATAATTCTATGTCGAAATCTGACGTTGTAACTATTACTCCAGGTAAAGAAGAAGGTATTGAGAAAAGAAATGCTATAACAAAAATATTGAACGGGAGCGTTTCGTTTAACCAAATTGCGATTGAACACAACTATTCACGGCAACCAGTGTCTTCTGTATTGTAATAAAAATTAAGTAACTTGTGGTCAATCGCGATATTCAACATATCATGTGGTCAAACGACTTCTACTCAATCCAAATCTATATATTTAATTTTTTTATAGTGATATCTAATAGATAAATATCAAGTAAGATTCTATAGATTTGTAAATGGTCTAGTTTATACTGTATACTTGACATGTACTAATTAGTAATTTTCTATTAAGTTATAAAATTGAGTTATTTTAATTTCAGTGACACATGTAAACACACACACATATATTTACATACAAACATTGCATTACAAGCTGTTTTTTTATTGACAATTTGCGTCGGATCAAAATTTGAAATACTTAAAAATCTTGTAAAATTATTTAAATACTTTAAGATGCTTTATATAATTTTAAACACCATAGTATTAGCATTGAAATTGTAAAAAACACATCAAAAGAAAACCTAAATAATAAAAGGAAAAATAATAAAAGTTCAGTCAAATATGTAGAAAAGGGGTGCCATCTCCGATATCTTAACTTTGACATATGTTGTCAAGGTCATGACCCTGAGTGACTTCCAACAGGTTTTAGTTGACGGTTGCTCTTCGTTAAAGAGTTATTAAAAAAATTTAATAAATAACGTTAGATTTTTCACGCTTCACGTGGAAAGTCGTGCGGCCTTTGGCAAGAAAAAGGAGATGGAATGAGAGTCGCTTTACGTGAAAAAGCGTATTCTCTTAATAATCCCACCTCACACTTCTTTCCTGTTTTAAAAATAAAAATTTGTTTTCTGCTTTAAATTATATTTAATGATTTTCCACGCAAAACAGCTTCCACCTCATGCTTACCTCCCTGCCAAGGAGCACAAGATTTTCGCTCGTTAAACTCTTACACACGTATTTCTAAGTTTGTTTCGTTTAGATTTGAGCAATGAAAAGCTCATCACTATTATATTCTCGTACTTATAATAAGTAGGACTTGATTAGGTGGCGTGTAGGAGAGTGCGTGTGTGCATTGTACTTTTAAGTATTCATTCTCACTTCGTACTGTCATTATATTGCTTCACGAATTTATTCATATAATACATAATTTTTATTTTAAAACAGAGAATTTTTGTTTTATGTAACAGAAAAGAGACGTAATTTTTCAAACTTTTTGTTAATAACTTTTTAACAAACAACAACCGCTATTTAAAACCTGTTAGAAATCATTCACAGGATCATGACCAGGGCCCCGATTCTCTAATCTATCGTAAGAGAAACGTATACGAAAAATTAGGAAAATGCTACGGTACACATTACGTATACTATAGCATTTTCCTATTTTTCGTATACGTTTCTCTTACGATGGATTAGAGAATCGGGGCCCTGGACAACATGTATCAAGGTCAAGGTCATCGTATGTGCAGCTCCTTTTCTCTATATATATTTATCTTTAATTTAATTTTAATTACTTATCAATACAATTAAGATATACATAGGGGCTTTAATTTTAATAAAAAAAACAAAACTAAATTTTTTTTATTCAATTCAGATACACAAGTCCATATTTTTTACAGATACTTATAGTAATATGTATAATTATTATTATAGATATAAAACATTTTCTTTTAGTTTATTATTGATGTCCTGTAATATAAACACTGCACTATAGCATTTAATATTAAACATATTTAATAAAATTTTTGGTATTAGTGTTAATATATGTATATGTACAAGTGTCTTAAAATATATAAAAGAATACTGTTTTAAGTTCATATTGTTGAATTATATTCAATTTAAAGTTATTTATAATCATTTTTATAGATTGCCACTAATTTTTCTCAATATGCCGTTAATTTATTTAAAACAACAGTATAAATAATTTAGCTCAACGAGATCTGTTAACCTTAACTCAATTTTAGTTTGTTATTTATTAAGTGCATAAAATAATTGAACGCTGTTATTATTTTCAAACCAATTAAATGGATTGATTTGGACACATTGAAATTAAAAATAATAAAAGATTATATAATTTAAGGGATTGAAAATTGCATCTTTAATATCCAACAATTAATGTAACGCAATTATATAATAATAATAATGTCTTAATTTTTTACAAACTTGATAGAATTTATCAAGTGTTTAAACTGTCATAAATAATATAATTATGTTTAATATTTATTGAACCATTTATTTCAATTAGATTTTACATTGTAAATAAAACAAAAGCAAGTAAAATTTGACATGGGATGTTTACATTTTGGATATAATTTCATTTACCAGGTATCAATAATTTCCTGCCTATTCGTGGTTGTGAAGGTTGTTATTGTGATTAAGGACCTCTAGTCTATTGTTTAGCAAATAGTCAATAAGGTACTCACATAATTATTACGTAAGAAATGGACGAAAAGCCCCATTCTATTCTATTATTAGTTCAATATTAGAATAATAAATGTTATTTGTTAATAATTTTTTTATTAGATAACAAGTGTATGCTAAAACCGAGTTTATAATTTAAATTTGATAATTATTTATTTTAGGAGAAGCACCGCTGTCCTCATATAACTTTGACCTTAGGCCTGTTCTTCTTTCATATTCCGGGCTTGAACTTCTTGCACGATTCATCTTTCTTTTTTTCTTTTTATTTATTGGATAGAAAAGGATATAAGAAGAACTGTGCAAGAAGTTTAATCCTAGCCAGAGTAAGGAAAAAGGAACCAACCTATTGTCATATATTATTAAAGACATTCTCCAGCATGATCTCCAGAAAATTTTAAATATCTCAAAATGAAGATATTTATAAGTCGAAAAATCGAATATTTTTTAAAGAAAAAGTAGATTTATTAGTTAATTAATTGTTTATAATTAATTAATTAAAAATTTTTTTATTTCAATTAAAATTATATATAGTAAAAAACTCCAAAATAAATAAAAATATACGACTGTATGTGCATGTGTAGGTGTACGTACATACAATAAGTCTGGATCTACAATACGTGTTTTCAAGCTTAAATCATAAGAAACTGACCAATTACAGTCAAATACGAGGAGGACAATTGACTATGATTCGACCATTTCTTATGGCTTAAATGGAATCTGCAATAGAAGTCGTAACGGTTGTAGGGTTTTAAATCGTAAAAAATTGACCAATCACTGATGAATGAGGAGAATAATCGACTATGATTGGTCACTTTTCTATTGTAGAAACCTCGCGTAATATTGTGCAAAAATATTAATGTTGTAAAAAAAATCCTTCAATGTATTAATCAAATTCTAAAATATCGATTATTCCATGAAAAAATATCGATTCTGACAAAAAAAGGACCGGTCTTACCAACTGATTAACTTAAATCAATCGAGTGACAATCGTGATAGAGCAATTCTGCTGAACAGTAAATTTGATTGGTGAGTTTCGATGTAACAATCGATAAGTTAATCGGACTTGGTGAGACCGGACCATAATAATCGACGCAAAATCACCCACCCCTAGTATTTCATCGGTGCTATTAGAGATAAGAATAAAAGATACTATATTTTTAAAATAATTTTCGACTATAATTGACTGTGAAACTTGTTTGTAGCAACCTTAATAATCGTGTATTTTATATATATATATATCGTATTTTATGTGTTATTTCAATAACTCATTTATGTGCTAATCTGATTACTATACCTGTTTATATAGCGCTTTATTGCGTTAGAACAACAAATTTTCTAACCTAATCTTCAGGAATGTCAATTTTAAGGGGATCCTAAAGCTTCCTGTATTACCGACTAAATCGTATAATTTTTGTATCGTAAATACTTTTTTTGTCATTCACAGATTCGAAAATCCTTTTACAGAATTAAAGTATACGCATTAATACGTGCCTGTGAGGTAGAATCTATGCTGAAAACGCTAAAAAATTTCAAAACTGAGTTCTTTACCATTTTTTAGTCCAATATGGCGCTCTAGAGCTGTCACGTCGTTGCACGTCGTAACAACATTTGTTTTATATAAAAGCTGCGCAATCTGTACTTAAGAAATAGTAGTCCACAGGCACGTAGTTTGCATGAAGAAACAGCGTGGAGTTCTTAAAATTAGATTTAGATGTCTAATTAAAACATAATTACGATACAAAAATCGACGTACATGTGTGGCGTGCGTGAGTAAGATATTGATGTAGTGATGTGTCAATGACACGTAAAATGTGTGTAAGATGTCGTTAAGAATCCCTTAAAGATGGAGCACGATGTCATGCATTACGTATTATAGATGAATCAATTAAGTCTTCATTTTTTCCATGAAAAATGAAAGAATTTAATTGGTCAATTTTTTTTATGCTTTATGCATTACACTATGCACAGCTCATTCATTTAAATTTAAAATAAAATAAAAAAAAGTAACATTTAGTTATTCTTGTAGATTCTATTAGAGCAATACAGGAGCTTAATGCGAATGTTACAGGTATAGTTGTACGTTACTTAACAGTTAACGTAATGCTCTGCTGAATTTTCTAATGTACTACTAAAACGTATTACTTGAAGAACTTATTAGATCTTTTGTTGTCATCTTTCACATACTTTATTAAAGCATATGTATTTAAAGTAAAATAGATTTCGAGATGTATTTTTTAAAATATATTTATTTTAATTAAAACTTTGAAGTAAATAAAATAAAAATTCTTAAACCGTCCACTTCATGCATCTCGTGTCAAGATGAGTACCTAGACACTTAACACAGCAATATCTAGCGCCACAAGGTATGCATATATAATTACTAGGGAAACCACACACTGCACAGAAATGTCTCTCGGGTAAACGAGACGGTGATGCTTGAGCACTAGCGTAGTTCGGTGGATTAGGATTCATATTGAGATCTTCTTCAACAAGCTGAGCAAAAGTCTTGCGAAAACGTTGCTTATAATATTCTGCAGAACGAGTCTTCTTTTTTCTACTATTTCTATTATCCAGGGTTTCTTGGAATTTTGGTATTTTCTTGCTCATAACTGTGAAACAAGAAAAAATGATCTGACACGTGGATGTTTCCGAAAAAAAAAAAAAAAAGCGTTTTTATAGTATATACCTAAGTCTGCATGTGGATCATCGTGAAAATTATCTTGTTCCAATGCTTCCAATGCTTTTTTTTGCCTACGTTTACGCGCAGCTTCATCAAGGATCCTCTTTTGACACGCATCCTTTATTCTACCAGATTCTCGAGACATTTTTCAAGTTTATGTATTATTATACAGCTCAAAAATAGATTTCGTTATTTCTTCTTTATACACCTTTTTCTGCCAGTGGGAATGATATCTGATCCATTAAATCATCTACTTTAGCTTGCAAAGTTTCCAATATGTCAGCAGATATGAATAAATGTTTCTCGTCTAGATCTTGAATTATGAACTTCCTTCCTAGCGCAGATGTTTCGTCCAAATGTAGAAGAAATTGTTTCATAGCCGCATCACTAAACACAATATTTAATATTTTTTTATTACAAATATGCAGATACCATGTCAAAAAAGAAAGGAGTTTCTCTTGATGAAAAACGTACGAGAATGTTGCAAATATTTTATGAGAAGAAAGAATTTTTCACATTAAAGGAGCTTGAAAAGATCGCGCCAAAGGAAAAAAACATTGTAGTACAAGCTGTCAAAGATGTATTACAAGCTTTAGTGGATGATGGTTTAGTAAGATCTGAAAAAATTGGTACTTCTATATATTTCTGGAGATTCCCAGGGTAATATTGCAAGAAAATTATATAACAGCGTCTAAGATATAGAAAAACAAGAGATATTCTAGAAATAATGTTTTACAGAGAAAATATTACTACAACAGAGCGTAGAATAGCTAATACAAGCAAGAAATTAGTAGAAGTAGAATTTAAATTGGAGAAACTAAAAGAAGAGATAGAGAAAGAAAAGGTAAATATATATTTTGTGGCTTATTCTGTAACTCTTAACAACTATAATACACTACTATAGTAACGAGCATTAACAAGTTACAGACAATTTTTGTAAAATTTAAATTTTGTTCTTGTTCATCTAAAATATTTTATACAGAAACTGAAGAATGATACAGAAGAAAAGAGAAAGCTATTGGAAGAAGTAGAACAATTAAAGAAAGAAGAACAAGAGATACAGAAACAAATTGCAAAATTCAGCAGCATTGATCCAGAAGTAATTGCAGAAATGGATAAAAAAACTAAGGTACAATTAAATTTCTGTTAAAACAATTATTACATTTTTAAGAATTTCTAATATTTGAAATTTATGAAATTAAAAAATGTTTTACAATTGTCTAAATATGAAAAATGTTATTTGTCGATCAATTAGAATAAGATATCTTAGAATATTTCAAAATTCACTTATATAATAAATATAGAAGTAGATTTTTTAAATATTTTTTAAAATGTTCCAATTTGTATAACAAATGGAAAAAATTATGTTATAAAATTATATATAGAAATTGTAAAAAATTTTGAGATTTATATGAAAATGTTTATCAGAGATTAATAAAAATATGATAATAATTTATAACATAATGTTGATTATGTTGTTATAATGAAATATATAACATTGTAAAGAAATTATTTCTTCTCTCTCTGATTTCAAATATATTTTATTAAATATGATAGATCTCTTAACCCCTTATTTTTGACATCTTATTATTTTGTAGCTATTAAGATGTTATTATCATTTCTATATACTCTGTTATAGTTTGTATAATACATAATTAGATTTCAATGAAATTTTGAGGAAGCTGCTACTTTATTGATGTTGCTACAATTAATGCTTTTTTTATCATGCTATTATTTATTTAGAAATACAAAGAGGTGACCAACATATGGACGGACAACATTTTTGCTATACAAAGTTGGTGCAAAAATAAATTTAGCATTTCGGAGCAAGATCTTAATAAACAATTTAACATTCCTGAGGACTTAGACTACAAAGAATGAATCAGTTTGTTAGCTCATGTAACTGGTTGTCAATAAATTAAATAAATTATTTTTTTCTACAAACACGTACCATTCAACCAAAATGCCCTTTGTTACATTTACCATGTCTTGCAATTTATTTTCTTTTAAATAAGTCGGTGTTTTTTTGTCATAAACCAATTGATTGATTTCGTACGTTTTTTGAAAACTGTTATCATGAATTCTTCATGAATGATACAAAATAACAAAACAACTTCAGCTCACTTCGGCTATGTTCGAAAACACCACCCAAATAGTCCTATCATTTTATTGTTTAATATATGATAAACATCAAGGATAAAATAATGTTCGACACTCGAATTAACTTCAAAGATCTCTTTGATCAACTTTTCGATGTTGTTTCTGGTTGTATTGCAGTCACTGCAATTAATCTGCAGTGTTGCCAAATGCCTTTACCGACTTTCCCTAGAATAGACTTGAATTCTCCCTAAATCTCTCTAGACTTGACGAACACTTGTTAGGTGCGTTCTTTTAGGCATCGGATACAGCCGTTCTTGCAAAGATTCGTTCTTTTAGCACAACTGCACAGTCGATTGCAGCGCAGATTTTCGTTTTTTTTCCGTTTTTTTTTTCATTTCTTATTGTCCTACAATTTGGCTAGTCTGTTCACCGAGCAAATAAACATGATTGGATATTACCTATAAATCTAACCAATCATATTTAATCGCTCGATAAGCATACGGCATAAGCCGTTTTGCCGTCTTGAAGGTTGAACTCGCCCGATCAGATTACTTTTCGTAAATTTGTGATGAACGTGTCTGAACGTATTGCCACTTCTATTTGATCTATTTTGCATATAACAATGATGTCAGATAATCCTTGCCTAAATATTCTATAAATTCAACTTGGCAACGTAAATTCAGCGCTTAAAGATCTTCGAAGAAATTGTGGTTTGTTATACTATTGTTTAATACGATGATTATATGTGACTGACATTTTGAGTATATCTTTAACATGGTTGTCATTGCTACTTTTTTTTACATTTTTTTCTAAAAATAAAATAATGTTTCAACAGTTATATGTAAATCGAGATATAAACAATGTTATTCATTTTTTTGATTGTAATTTTACTTTTTATGAAGACTGATAACATTGTCTTTACATATTTTATGATTCCAATTTATTAATTCTATTTTCTAAATTGTTTATTCAGAAAATCAAAAATGGCTACTGTTCCTTTGATGTTGGTAGAAGAGGATGTTGAATGTGGTGGCAAGGAACAGTCTGAACATGACATACAAGATGACTTTGTATACAGGAATAATGTACAAAATGCAGATATCAAGATACGAATGAGTAATTGTATAACATTACAGAAATTCAAAATTATGTTGACATATGTTGCCATAAAGTGTTCATAACATTTATAAAAATACTTGTAAACTATATTCATAACGTCACAATGTAGTCTTATTTATCATAAATTCATGAATTCCACATTTAATGCTTGTTCTAATTATGAAATGGATTTGTGTAGGTTTCTTACGAAAAGTTTATGGTTTGTTGAGTATTCAGATCTTGATGACAGTTGCATTAGCTTCAATATTTGTGGTCAGTTCAACAGTGAAATTATACGTGCAGAATAAGTAAGATATCTTCTTGTATATTTAATTCACATTATTAGCTAATACTGCTAATAGAAATGTTATTAATTTGTTTGTTATTTAGTGTATGGACAATAGGTTTAGCGTTTTTCTTGACAATTGCAATCTTAATTGCTCTGATGATAAAAAGAAAAGATCATCCTGCCAACTTGATTCTTCTAAGTGCATTTGTAAGTATAAAAAATGGACGATAATAATTTTGTTGTATGTGATATCGGTAAGAATTTGCTTTGGAAATTACAGACACTGGTACAGGCGTATACTGTCGGAGTTGTAGTGTCTATGTACGACACCACAGTAGTCCTAGAAGCTCTGTTTATAACGTTGACTGTTTTGTTCGGTCTGACAGCTTATACTTTCCAGACCAAGCGTGATTTTTCATTTCTAGGATTTGGGTAAGACTGACTCTTGTTGACTAAGTTATTTTTCATCACAAACTTCTATGGCATTTCACTTGACGCTTACAACGTTTTTGAAATAATTTTATCTTTGTTGTTTATCAAGTGTCAAACAAGGATGAATACTTGCGATTGTTGTAAACGCTGAATGAATTTCCCTATATATTGTTATACGCTAACACTTAGTAAAATTGTGATAAAATTTGAAGCGATAAACATTTGAGTGTTTAAGGGCTACTTTCGCCAAATCGGATTAACTTAATCGGCCGATTAGTCCATTGGAATTAACCAATTGCATCTGTCGTCCAAACTAAATGATAAATGCGAATGGTCAATCCTGCAAAGTTATTGAAATAAATGCCACTTGTCAACTAAGGGGCTCAGTTAGCTCTACAATTATTCATTTTGTCTCTTTGTTTTGCAGATTGTTTATTGGACTCTGGTGCCTCTTACTCGGAGGTTTAATGCAAATCTTTATTCAGAGCACCACGCTGGAATTGATTATAAGCATCGGAGGTGCACTGTTGTTCTGCCTATTCATAGTTTTTGACACGCAACTTATAATGCACGTTCTCTCGCCCGAGGAATATATCCTGGCGACGATTAATATCTACCTGGATATAATCAATTTGTTTTTACATATATTACGAGCGCTTGCTATTTCGAAGCAGTAAACAGTATTACTACGTATTTTATTTGAAATGTTAAAACGCATAGAACAACAAGCTTATTCTGTAACTTTTAATACAAGTTTCGTTATTATTGGAACTCCACTGCACAGCTTCTTTACTATTGTAAAGAACTATTGTAAAAGAACGTAGCAGCGTTATAATAATAACGGAATTTGCATTAAGAGTTACGGAATAGAATTGCTCGTTATTTTATGAATCTTCTAGCATATAAGCTATGGTCCATTTGATGCTACGAATGCTTTGAAATTTTTTGATTGGACAATTAATATAATTCTTTCTTCTGATTGGTCAGTCAGAAATTTCGAAGCATTTGTAGCGCTAAGTGGACCACACCCATAATCATATGTGTATATATATATATATATAAACATATTTAACACAAATTTCACATTTATTTAATAAATTGAAGAGAATACACAAGTACGAACTCTCGAAATTAAAACAATAAAAGAGGATTAAATCTGATTGTGAGATGTTTGCAAATAAGGAGATGACACAAATAACAAATTGATAGACTTGTGTCGTAAATCCTAGCATATAAAAAGTTATATTCTTGACGGTCTATTATTAACGTATTTTATTTAAAATTCTTTCAAATGATCATTTTACTTATAATAAGGCATAATTATCAATGTAATTGATTCAAAATTTCAGGAAGACTACTTTGTCTGCTGCGATTTACGACATCAAGTCTATCAATTTGTTATTTGTGTCATCCCCTGCACATAAAGAAGAGATTCAATATCTTTTATTGTAACATGTTTTTGTTGATAAAAATTCCAAAGCTAGTCAAAACGTTTAAAATAAATTTAAAATAAAGAAGTAGATAAAGAAATGTAAGAATCTTTATTTGTATACCATCATCAACATTGTACTCTCATTTGCAAACATCTCAGGTTTCTTTTTAAGGGTCGACATGAGTGACCCACTCCACTCCCGTAACATTTTTGTTAGCCATTTTTTACAAAAAAATAGCTCTGTATGAAGCTTCAGAAGCCTTTTCTGATTACGAATATTACAATCAAAACACGATATTTTAGCCATAATTTCAGCATAAAGGTATACATTTATGAGTGCAAATCAGTGCAGATCAGTTATGCTCATTTTTCTTCTCAAAGAAACAATATTTCCTTATGAAACCTGTTGGGATTTCATTGTTATATTGCTGGGAAGGCTCGTACAGAGTCAGATTTGCAAATTGATTCTTGAAAATTTTTATTAAAATAAGATCATGTATACACCTCTCAACTGCACCATAGTACACATCGAGTGAGATAACAGAACAAATTTTTACTATGCCTTTTTTTTTTTTACAAAAAAATAGCTCTGTACGAGCCTTCAGGAGCCTTTCCTAATTACGAATATCACAATTAAAACGCGATCCATCCAGTATTTTAGCCGTAATTTGGGTCACTCCTGTCGACCCTTAATCCTCTTTTATGTAACAAGCTTCTATTTTTTGTTTAAATGTTTTTAGCTCTTGAAATATAATTTGAGTTGCGTTTTTAATATCGAACATAAAAAATTATTTGTGAATGTACATAATAAAGAGATAAATATGAAAGTTATGTTTTTCATATTTTTTATTGTGACACAAAAATATATCAAAATTATGACGTCTCCATGGCAGCCGTTACATCCTCTGTATATTTGCCCTTGTCTTTACCCAATGCAGCCAGCCTGCCTTTGCTTCGCCTGTCGATAATTTTTTTACGGTCTTTATCCATTTTCAACTTAACAATAACCGTCTGGAACAATAATATGGCAAGTTAATTTTTAACAAAACGAAATTTGCGAGGTGTCGAAAAAAATTTGCAACAATATGATCAGAGCCAATCTTTCAGCATTAATTAGACTAAGCAAAACTCTTCAACAAATATGCAGGAAAACCCTGTACACAGTTTCAAAGTCAAGCTATTTATCTAATTCTATGTGAATGGATTTGGATTAGTTCATCATAAATATAAAAGCAATGAAAGATTCTGATATATGTTCTGTAAGGCTGGGTCCACAACCTTGCTTTAAGAGGCCATAAGAAATTGACCAATCACAGCCGATTATTTTTGAGGATGTGGACCCAGCCTAATGTATTTTATTGTCCTTACCTTAGAAGGATCAATGCCAACGTATACGTTAGCACTGTTTGCCTTTTCACGTTGAATTCGCTCAATGTATATTACGAACTTTTTCCTGTATACTTGGACAACTTTTCCTACTTGTTGACCCTTGTAGTGACCACGTACTACCTTTAAAAAATACATGGCAGATATATGTGAGTTTCACTTACTCAATACTGTTCAAGATTTACAATTGTAGCATTATATATTTTAGTATTTGTTTTCACATCTATTCCCTTTTTCTTTTTCTTAATCTATGTAATAAGTTTTTAGTCTTTTGCTCCAAATTTTAAACTATGACATTTTCCTAACAAAAGGTATTTTCGGTGCTGTCTCAAACTTTAATCTCTAAGTTTCAAGCAAGCTATCCAGATCTCAAGTATAAAATTTACAGCTTACAGCAAGATTAATGCGTCAATTCTAAGCAGACTTAAGTCTCGTACTTGTTTTTATGAAACTTGTAAGAACATATGACTGATATTCTATGCATATGTATATGACATGTAATCATTCGTAGCTAGCAAGAAACTGTCTATAAAGATACTGCATAAATTTACAAGAACTTACAAATGAGTTCTTACAAGATCATATCACAAACTTACGAAAGCTTAGAATTAATCTAGTATTCTATATACATTATAGATTGGGACTTAATGAAGATAGAAAAAGGAAGGCAAAAGTAAATCTCAATATCAAGTAGATAGAAGTACTCAATTTTGTTAAGGCTTGTTTACATAGAAATCATAGATGATTGTCTTAAGTCATAAGAAACTGATCAGTTACAGTCAAATATAAGAGAATTAGAATTGGTCAATTTCCTATGATTTGAGATCCTATGACTATCTACGACTTTTATATAGACAAGCCTTTTCTCTTAAAAATAGTTCATTATTGATGCTTCCCAGCAAGTGACACAGTGATCTTGTTATCTTCGTTCTCATTAACAAGCAAGGATGTAATGATTCACTATGTTACATCGTGTCATCTGTGTCTCTTGTTGAAAGTGTACTCTATGTATGAAACTCACCTGTACTTCGTCATCTTTACGGATCGGCATTGACCGTACATTGTACTTTTGTCGTAATTCCTTAGATAGTGGCGCGGACATAAGTCGTCGTCTGATGTGAGAAGGTGCTGTGAAGTGCCTCTTTCTGTTCTTCCTGCGCGAAGAAGACACTAGTCGATTGTACTTCATCCTCGTAAACTCTATAACGAAAATTAATCGTAAAATACAAAATAGTCATTATAATATCGATTTTAAGTTTATTCGCAGAACAATAATGCGTGCCGTATCGATTTTATTAATGGTTTATATATACACAAGATTCAAATGGAAATCGCTTTGCAACGTGATGTTAGGTTATATCGATGATACATGTCAAAATTGACAAATTTTCCATATACGCGGAAAATAAGGTTGAAATATTTAAATAAAGACTTGTCAGATTTTCATTTACGTTAAATATCAATTTATTTCTTTTCATTTCAGCCAGATTCCACGCGATTGATATCCGTCACACTCACCGACAACAGCTCAACGCAGTGCAATTAACCGGAAGAATAATACCATGGTGGAAAATGGAAATGGAAAGAATACAAGCGAGTTATTCCCGTGGTTGCGCAGTAGCCTAAAAGTAGTGGAGAGCTGACAGCCAATCACATTAGATCCAAATTATAAAATTCAATATGGCTGATGATATGTTTATTTACTGCTGTTATTGTGAGTGTGCGAATCTATAATTATGCCGATTTGCTGCATAAAAAATTGCAAAAACCGTTCTCTACCTTTAGCTAGAGTCCTAGATATCAGAGAAGCGCAACCGATGTTCCGTGTCCTGATTAGCTGACTGTCAGCCAATCATGACATTCATTCAGTGGTATTAAAAATGGCTGACTAATAGACGATTGGTGGATTTCATATTTCGTCTGCAAATGACGCCATTTTTAATACTTTTCTTAGTAATTTTGCGATACTGACTTAAGCCGGTTGCGCTTCTCTGATATCTAGGACTCTACCTTTAGCAAAAAAGTAATATTCTACTCATTTCCTCAAGATGTTGATATACGTCGAAAATGGCTTGAAGCTTGTGGCATGGACCTCAATCATCATATCCAATCTAGTAAACATTACATTTTCAAATTGTATCTACAGGGTTTATTTGTTATTGCAATAATTGTCAAAAGAAAATTATTTGCAGAAAGAGTATGTGGAGTGCATTTTAAATTAGAATGCATCGAGAATTGCATGACAAAGCCACAATCTAAATTCACGAAACCTCGAATAAGACAGCGACTAAGGACAAGATCTGTGCCAACGGAATTCTTGAAGTTACCAAATGTACGACAAAAGCGATATTGGTTTCACCGGTTTCACCAAAACGCTGAAGAACCTACAAAGAAATCATTTTGGTACATATTATTAGTTCTATAGTTAGAGACAACGTTGTAACATTGTGACCTTTTTATTTATGTTTTTTATTTGATACTGAGGATAACCTAATGAAGCTAAGACTCCATGTATGCGGTGAGCTGCGGCAAACGCATGCGGTGACCAATCAGGAGCTAGGCGCATGCCGGACTCCTGCCGGATTCGGCATGCGCCTAGCTCCTGATTGGTCACCGCATGCGTTTGCCGCAGCTCACCGCATACATGGAGTCTTAGCTTCATTAGGTTATCCTCAGTATCAAATAAAAAACATAAATAAAAAGGTCACAATGTTACAACGTTGTCTCTAACTATAGAACTAATAATATGTACCAAAATGATTTCTTTGTAGGTTCTTCAGCGTTTTGGTGAAACCGGTGAAACCAATATCGCTTTTGTCGTACATTTGGTAACTTCAAGAATTCCGTTGGCACAGATCTTGTCCTTGATTTATTTATTTTTATCTTTTTCTAATTTTTATATATCAGAACTAAACAAGGATAAAAATTAAATTAAATCAAGATTGAAGTCAATTTTGATTTAAATAATGTCTAATATATATAAAAAAAGCTCACACTTTCGAAATTCATGTATTTTCAACAAATACTTACAAGTAAATTAACATGATGAATAATTTACATTCATATTCATGATATATAAGGGAGCATCAATGGCTCTTTAATATAGATAAAATCGTTTAATGATCGACGGCGATGTAGAAATAATATTCGATACAAATATTCTACAAAATGAATCCTGTAATATAAAAGATATGCACGGTAGTTTTATTGGAGGAAAGAAACTTGCTTCTCAATGAATCATTGTAACATGATATTTATACTAGATTACAGGTCTTTAATACTTAAACAATTTATCAGAATTCTATATACACAAAATTTTGAATAATTTTATGTTATATATATATATATATATATATATATATATAATTATTCGGAAATTTTATATATATACATATATATGCAGGATGTCTCGTCTCTGTTGTATTTTCCTTCGGCCATGTATTTTTATAGAGTTTGTTTTGGTATTTATTATGATACAAAAAGACTTTAAAACAATAATACACAAAGAATTTTTTGAGAAACCTTCGATGAATTTAAGACATTCCGCATATACATACATATATAGAAAAACTAATCAACTTCATAGCGAGATTAATTTACAATAAGAGGTGTTTTTTTTACAAATACTCTTTATCTACAGCTTGCATTAGCCACGCATGCTCGTTTTAAGTATGCATTGTATCGCATTTGTAAGAGAGATTCTCTAAGACGTCACACATATATCAGGCCGCACAGTCATGCAAACGTACAATGTATATATATTTGGTGTTATCCTTTGATTTTTAGTACAATGTAAAACTAGATTACTTTGTTTCTCATAATATAATCACGTGTAATTATCATACCCTATCCACATAAGTAGCAGCATCGTATTCACTATCAGTGTAAATTGTCTTTATAAAAGGTAGTTTTTCAGCTTTATATATAAACACCGTTTATCATTTTCAAATAATATATTTAAACATGCATTTATCTGTGTGTTTCGAAGAATTGTGAAATCGTAAATTAAAACAGATATAACATCGTGCAATATAATAATCATTACCACAAAAAATTAAGATAAAACGGGATAATTTAAATAGGGTCACAGAAATTTTAAAATTGTATAAAAGTCGTATAATTTATTCAATCAAACCTACAGTATTGCATCAACAGTGCATATTTTATATGTTTGATCAAATACACTAAACGACCTAAAATATAATTGAAAGATTCTGTTAATCTATTTAAATTACTCCGTTTTAATACTCCTATACGATTTTAAGCCGACGAGTTGTACGAGTTTAATTTGTGATTTTAAGCGCATCGTTTTTATACTGGAAAAAAAATTAAGAACAATCCAAGGAACAAAGTAATCCGAGTTTATCGGGTATTTACTAAAATTTTCGTCTGAAGTAGAATACTCGCGTTGCTGCTATAAATTTATTTTTGTTATAAATAACGTAACTATAACCGAACATGGTGACTACAGCTTAAAATTATTACATGAACATTTACCATGTACATTCAACGACTCTATGTATACATAATATCTCGAGAAATAGTGATCGTTTAAAATAAATCCGGTGATTTGCATTATTTTGCCGCTACCATCGTATAATTACACGTAACAAACATTACGAAGAGCATTGACCGCGAAAATTATTCATTTTTAGTAACCCACGATTTTAAAATCGAATTGCGCTGAATGATATCTTATAATGAGACATCAATTATAAAAAAAATTTCAAGTTAAGGCTAGAATTGGTTTAAGAAATATGGGGAGTCAAAGTTTGATAAAGTGGCAGCCCATATGCTTTAAGGCACGAATTTGTCAGTCCGATTCACACAATTCAGCTACAAAATCGTAGGACTAAAACAAGCTGAAAATATTGATTTTGTGGTCGCTCTTCTATACGACTCTTCGTTCACTCGATTGTGAGTTGAATTGATTGGTATACGATATAGTTCTTTAAAATATAGAAAATATACATTCGATCTCCGTGCTGTGTAAATTATATATAGCTGTAAAATTATTATATAACTATCTATAAACATACATACACAACTATTTTTCCTCAAAGCTATTACTAATTGCACCGACGCGTTAACGGAGTTAACATTTATATGATACATCCATACAGCATAGAAGCTTGCAGCATTTTGTTACAATGTTTGCAATGTTATTGCAATTGCTGGAACATTGCAATGTTGTTACGACCTTGCAGGAATGGTTGCGCTGTATGGGGTATATCGCATTCTCGCAGAAAGAAGTAACAAAAATCGACATTATTCGAATTATGTACGGATTGTGTTCTAAATACATCGGTCTACTTTACATTATTTTTACATTGTTACAACATTTCTATGAAATTTTAAAATATTTCAAATTATTTTATTAAATATATCTATTTAGAATGTTTTATCCTCACTTAAGAAAAATATAATTTTCTATTAATATAGGACGTGAAAAAACGCGACTTAGAAAAAAATGACTTATCTATTGCTTATAGCAATTTTTCGTAAAAAGTGAACATTCGTTCAAATTCATGACATAATTTAATTAGAAAGATGATAATTCATACAATTTCCCAAAATAACATAAACTTTAATATTAATATATGATGAAATAAACAAAAAAATGACATTTTAATATTAAAGAAAAAATACATGACATTTTAATCATATCTCATACATCTCTCTTATCTTCAGGTGAGTCTCTTTTTCTCAGTTAAATTAGTTAATTTTTTTTTAGTCTTATCATTTAAACACGTTATTTCAACAAAATACTATTATCTGAAATATTTTAAAATTTTATAGAAATATTTTAATAATATAGAAATAATGTATGTATTCATTTTGTTATGTGTGATGTTATGGTATTTTTCAAAACTATCTTTATTATAAATTGTCATTTTTCTTTGAAACATATTTTTTAAAAATTTGAAACAAGCAATTTGTAATTAAGTCTAAGTTTACTTATGTTCGATATCGTAAAAAATAATTATAATTGTAAAATATATTATAAAAATATATAATACACATTTTTTCTTTCCTCTTTCTTGAACAATTTTATATATTTTTTTATTTATATTATTTTTCTTGCGGGGATGCGATATGTATGTACATAATGTGCAAAAGGTCCGTTAAATTTTCATTTTTTATGATCAAAGGAATATCAATGTATGTCTCTCGCAATAACATTCCAGGATCAGACATGGGCGGATTAATTTCAATTTATCAAAGAATGTCGTTATCGTAATATATAAATTACATAACAATCTCTGTACAGATATATATTTTAGACAATATATTTCTAATCGTAAACTGGTTCCCACAATAATAAATTCGCGAATCCCTCCCCCTGTAGGATTCAGAAGCTCTATACTTCGTCGCCAAAGATCAGCGTTTTAGATTCCGATAATTTTTAATTGAATAATATTTTATTCAAGACACTGATCCTAACATTATTCAAAATGCGACGTGTAAAAATTTCGAAACACGTTATATCGCCATTGTTCTTGGTGACACAATTATTCATATATACAAATAACAGCCGCACCTAGATAAAAATTATTTAATATTCAGTTCCAAAACGAATTATCGTAATATGTACAAATACAAA